GAGAGAGAGAGAGAGAGAGAGAGAGAGAGAGAGAGAGAGAGAGAGAGAGAGAGCCAGACAGAGAGAAAAAGAGAAACAGAGAGATGGGGTGAGAGCAGAATAATAACATATGAAGGCGACGGACAGAAACGTTCGGCGGCCGGTTTTGCATTTCTGTGAATTGTCAAGTGTGCGGTGTGTCCGTTCGGCTCCAAATATTGGTCCGTCTGTCTGTCCGTCGATCTCTCTATCCACCAAGTCACTCTCTGTCTCCCCTTCTCTCTATCTATCTAGTTATCTTATTCTAGCTATCTATTTATAAATCCCTCTTTCTCGTCTCTCATTTCTCTCTCCTGTTCCCCGCATTTCTCACTGCGTCTCTATTTATCAAGCTCTCTCTTTATCTAGTCATCAAGCTCGCTCTATATATATATCTATTTATCAAGCTCTCTCTCTCGCTCACTCTCAATCAATTAATTATTCCCTTGACATCGCTTTGCTCGGGATAATTTCCCCTTCCTCCCCTTATCAAAATATCCCACTTTACTCTTTTCCTCTCCGCCGCCCATCACCAGCCCATATTCGCCTCTCTCCTTTATGATCCTCTCCCTTTGTCTCTCGCTTTATGATACGTGATGATGCTTTATGAGTCTGGATGGCCCTGCAGTGATTGTTCATAAACGGCCGCGCAATATGACGCCGTCATAACGTGCTTCCCTCGACGCACATCGCGGCGCGGGAGCAATTTTCGGCGGTTAACAGCCTGTAAAACACAACATATAGCGGTCCATAATTCCTTATCGCATGCTGCAGGTCTCAATTAAAAGCGTAAATCTTCATCATTACCTCGAGTCGGCTCGCCGAGGGATCGCATGTATATATCGCCGGCCGGCAGCCGCACAGCTCGCCCCGCTATATATATACGGCGACGATATCCGCATCTCATCGCAAAAAGCCGCCTGTCGGCAACTGCCGCTGCGACGTGCCGACGGCGCGAGTTCGTTTTACGACCCGCGAGGTTTGTCGGACTGCGAAGCAGGCTGGCGACGAAAAAGGCGACGAAAATAAAGTTCAAGTAAATTTCAGCAGAGCCGCGCTGGCAGAATTCATCTTTGCTCTGATGTAAAATGTAAAAATATGTAATGATCTCGTTCGCAGTATGACTCTAGTGAGTGCGGTCGCCATGTCCGGCCGCCGATGGGTTATGCGTCTACCGCTTATAATAGTTTTTTTTTTTAGAAATACGTCCCTATCTGTATCGTGTTACAGATGAGGCCGTCGTGAGAGAACGATCCCGCCGTACATTACGAGTAACGAATAATGAATAATTCATTCATTCTTCTTTAATACGCCGAGCTATTGAAGCGTGGCTATTAATGTGACAAACGTGAAGAGCGACGTTGTATTGTCTTCCGTCATCGTCTGCTAGCGTCGTGAGAGTCTTGACGCGTGGCGAGGCTCGCGTGTCAAGAGCCTCACCGCCTCACCGCGCGCATGCGCAACGTGGGCCATAGTCTCAGCGGAAGTGCGAGTGAAGAGCGGAGATTCGTATGAGAAGGTTGGAAACCGTAATATACGAACCGCTAAAACAAAATAGCCGCATTTCACGGCTGATTATAATATTATAATTCCCCGCCGATGCATTAGACGCAGTCCAAATTTAGGACGCAATAATCTGATAAAGTACGACTACATAATAGACGGCCCACGCACACACTAACAGGTATATGCTCATTATAAATAAGGCCACCCCCTTGTATTTCCATTTGCTCCCCGACATTGCCCATCCTATAAGCCGCCAAATATGATAACGCTCAAGGAATCGATGTGTCTTTAAATATAGTTATTCGCTCTTGAAGTAGCATGTATATGCGGTATATACATGTACATTCTATACGATGTTCCACATATGTATATTTTTATTATTATTTCCAGATTTTAAATGGGACAGTTCTACATATTCATTCTCTATGATATTCTACATATATGGATACAGAGAACTACAAAATCTGAAAATAATATCACTCCATAATATCACCCGGTCGTAAACTCAGGGAACCGTCTAGACGCAAGCCAGTATTTATATATTCACGCGTTAAATCAGACGTCGAGTGCATTTTAAATTATAATGTTGGCACTATATTCTCCCAGCGCGTGTATTAGAGCGCCATCGAGCGTGCATGATATCATCAACATGTCAGAAGCTTACTCTCCGAGTTCTGATTGCAGATCATTTACAAACCAGTACAGCGCTGCACACGGATCTTAATCAATCACCAGTTCATATTATAATCGAACGTGACCGCGCACGCCACGACCGTGAATATGCTACTAGCACTTTTTGGGCCCAATATATATACATACACACACACACATATATATATATATATATATATATATATATATATATATATATTATATATATATATATATC